TGTATTTATAATTAATGCAAACCTGTTGTAAATATGCGGACAATTCAGTCAACTGTTTTTTAAGATTCTCGTCGGACTTTCCGTTTACTTTCAACGCATTCCTAAGCGTGTGTTCGGCTCTATCGACGTGTCCATTGGTTATCTGCCAACGCGGGGACTCAAACATATAGTAATACCAAATTATAATTGCTGCCAATCCTATTGATGACACAAATAACATATATCTGTAGTCCTGTAGCCATAAGGCCAGTCCCGGTACAGCCGCGTAACCCAATACCCAACCAACACCACTGAGTATACTAATTGCTGCCCTATATTTCGGCCCACAACATTCTAACACTACAGTATATAAAAAGATCCTTATTTTATCATGATCTAATTGTATGTTTTTAACAATCAATTACATGTCAAATATATAGTCGTTCCTCTTCCAGAAGCTCCCGTTCCCATCAAAAACCGACAAAATGTATAAAAATATATATTCGGCGAAAATATAGAGAAGAGAATTCCACACATTTCTATGACAAATGATATCCAAACTATAGGTCTTCGGCCGTATTTGTCTGAATAGTGTGCGAATACAAGTCCCGAAAACACATATCCCAACATAAACGCCGTTTGAGTGAATGACGCAAAGTATTTCCGATCGCACACTAAATTAAACTAATATTTTAAGGTAAAATGTTACTGTCAATATTTACAATATAACATTTACTAACTTGAGTGTTGATAGAGTTGGCAAACTGTGTCCTATCGTATTGCCATTCATTGCAAGTTTCGTTGAGATTATTAAATTTAAAACATTTCATTTCCGCTGTCTTTTCCTAGAAATCAAATCAATAATAAATTATTATACAAATTAAAAAAATGTTTGTTTAATTGTATGCATTGTTTATGAAACACTACTCTACCTGATAATCTGGTGGGACATCACTGCACCAAAAATCATTATCATATGCCATAAAACTATAGCCCATATTATTGAGAGCCGAAACACTCTCCTGTATAAAACAGAAGATAAACAAACGGAACTGCCATTTACCCCATTCGCCCACTATATCACCGATATGTTTCACATCGGGCTTTTGTTGGTCATCCATGTAATTTTAGTTGTATAAACTAAAGTATACAGTAGTAGAGTATTTTCATTGCAATAGGAATGAATTAATGTGGCAATGAGTTAGTTTTGTTACAGTTATATTAATAAAAAATTCATTAAATGTAATATTAAGTGTAAATAAATTATCTAAAAATTGAGTTAATCAAAACGTGTTATTTATCAATCAACTTGTTTATAAAGCTAACTAATCTTGTATTTTGCAGTTTGTTGTAAACGTAATCCTGCATACTATACAGTATACAATATTTCATCATTCTACATTAAGTATTACACTCATATTCAGGTACGGCTCATAATTACACTAAAAAGGGTTTATGAAACGACTAATAATTAAGCCTAGCTGCATGATTACTATTTGCAAATTCATGCTTAATTTTAAATGCATGTACAGTTAACCCTTGTATCTTGAAGCCTTCCATCTTGAATTTCTACCTATCTTGAAGTCAAACTCAAAGTCCCGATTCATCCCATAGAAGTCTAATGTTAAATTCCCTCATATCTTGAACCTTCTAACTTGTATCTTGAAGTGATTTTTTGGGTTTCAATAGCTATTGTATATACTTCTATCTTGAAGTTTCAAAAATAACGTCATATAAATGAAATTATTTTGCTAACAATGTGTATAATCAACGTAATTACTGGACACATTTAGGTTTAACTGTGTAAAACAAACATCCAATTCAAAATATGAGACATTTTCAGTATTTTTTACACTAATTTTACATCTAACGTGAGCTATAAACTTCTAACTTGAAATTTAACTCATTTTGAACATTGTAACTTGAATTTTTCTAACTTGAAATCGTTCTATCTTGAAGTCATTTGTCAAGACCCGACCATTTCAAGATACAAGGTTTTTCTGTATATGTGTGAATATAAATACACATAGGTGATAATAAATGTGAAAAAAAAGTTTTAAAAAAAGTGACGCGACGGTGACTCGAACCCAGGGGCTTTAGAATTAGTACCCAACGCTCTACCAACTGAGCTATGCTGACAATGTAAATTTGAATGACTTAATAGTACTCTTTATAGATCAACTATTAATTTCAACATGCATGACTGTTTTCAAACATGACATATAGTAAAATATGTTTCC